TAAAAAAGTATTTTGGCTCCACCCCGGCTCCAGAGAATTGAATGCCATAGAGTTATTCATGTTTTACTAAAAATTTGGTTAAATGGTGATCCCAAAAGAAATTGCAAAAAAAATGACAAATACCTAACACATAGGGCAAGTTTCTTCATTGTGACCTGACATCAACAGTGCGAGGGTCCGAGTTGCAGGAACAGCCTCTCCGCATATCTAACCCTCTCTCAGGCTCCGCAGTGGCAGGAGCCTTATACACCAGCTGCCTTTTCTTGGCTAATTCACAGGAGAGTTAATTTATTAGGATAACGGGCGAAAAGGAAATTATTCTGTGTCATGAGATGACTAACCATACCACACTGTTTAATGTAGAGTATCTTCTCTAATATTTTGAAGGGTCAACAATGCTGTTAGCATCTTCTTTAAAAGAAAACTTTATATCGCAAATCAAATTTTCATTGTTACTTGTTTGGGGTAAGGACTTCTGATTTTATCAATAGTATAGTTTGATGGACTTGCTGTTGGTGGTTTGCAAGTTACCTGGACTAGCAATCATGATACTAAAACCCTTTATAGACTGGACAGATTCTTGATCTCAGTGAATCGGGAATGCTTTCCAGATTTACTGCACTATACTCTTTAAAGAGTCCAATGTCCATGTCAATTGTTCTGGATTGTGGTGGCTTGTTTGAAGGAAAAGCCTTTTTCATATTGGAGAACATGTGGCTTCTGGCAGAAGGGTTTACGGTGAAGGTGCTTGCTTCGTGGGATGTTTATATGGTGGATTAGGTTTGCATTAACCTGAAAGCTTAAATTGTTTGAACAAGGAATGAAAAAATGATGTAGGGGTCTATTGGCAACCTAGTATGGAGAAACGGTTTCGGTGAAATTCAAAATTGGATGTGGAGTATTAGGAGCTTACAAGAGAAGAGAGGAGTGATTGGGAAGATCTCCGAAAGGTGGTATGAGTTTGTTGTTTTGATGGATGGACTTGTTAAGGGCAGAAGTCAGGGTTTTATGGCTTAAAGAAGGGGATAGTTCCAAGGAGAGGTGATTGCACCACAGACATACAAATATCATAGGATAGATAAAGAGTGAGGGGAGTGGAGATGTCATGGCAGAGGAGGATATCAAGGTAATTATTTTGGATTTCTATCGGAGCATATATGGATGTTAGAGGCATCTAACACAAAACTAATTAACAATGAGGGTCATAAAAGTCGACCTTGGGTGGAGAGAGGGTCATAGAAGTCGATCTTGGGTGATCCTAACCTTTCGTTGTAGGATACAATCTCTCTTTGCACCCCTTTTCACATTGGACTCGGGTTCATACATACTCTAACAAACGAATAAAGATGGATATTACAAAATTCAAATGGAGGAGAAATTTTACCCACTAACAACCTGTCTTCAACTTTGATATCATAGTAAAGGCATTCAATTCAAACCAATTGGCAATGGATAGGGTGTCTCACCTAATTTGGTTGATCTTAATATTTTGATGTAGGACGCGTTCCCTCACAGTGGACACTTGATGAAGTGACATTTAGTGTCCTATATGCGAATGAGTGGTTTCAGATATCACCCATGAACTAGAAATTTAAAACTTGCAATGGGGATAAAACACTAAGGCTTGTCAGTCTCACCATTTCCATGATTCAGTGACTTAAAAGAGGAGCTTGAATATTTTCTTTATTGCTTTGGTTCCAAAAGAGGGTTTGTCAGATTTGAAGGATTGTAGACATATTACCTTGGTGGGAGTGCGTACAAAATACAATTGTTGTTGGAATCTCAAATTGCAATTTTTTTTTGGGGGGCCGGGGGGGGGGGGGTCGAGATGATTGCCATGCTTGATTTTTGTTTGAGTTTTCGGGCCAGGTTTAGTAAACAAGCTTGATATGAAGAAGGTCGATTATCATAGTCAATTGTGATTTCTCCTTCACAAAATGGAGAGTGTGGGCTTTGGTCCTAGGCGGTGTTGAAAATTCACAATTGGGTGTTCTGTTTTGATTAGTGGGACACCGGAACGATTCTTTGGGGGCTCAAGAAGCTTGAGCAATATGCTATCAAAGCCGTTATGTGCCTGGTTAGTGGTTTTGAGATCAGTAGGGATGGGGAGTGCCTGACTGAATGTATATTTGCTACTTATTGATAAAACTTGCCATTTTTTGTAGGGTGGATGAGGAATTGTGCTACTTGAGGTGTGTGTTGCTTTATAATGAGGCAGTCGGAGAGGTCCAGGTGATTATAATTTGATTGCAATTCTGGGTTGCGAAGAGGTAGCTTTTGTACTTGTTTGGGCCTCCCTTTGGGGTCATTGAATAGGGCTAGATCTGTTTGGGATCTACTGTGGAAATATCTCAGAGGCGAAGTGCGGTTTTCTAAACATATTAGCTTTGAGATGGGCTAGATCTGTGTGTTAGGTGGGATTTCTGGGTTCCAGACTCAGGTCTGAGATTGTCGAAGCATGTCCTTCACTCCTATTGATTCTATCCTTTTTAGAACTAGGCTGCCTCTTCTCTTTTTGTTAGAGCTTTGATATGGATTTGGTGCCTTTATCTTACCCAGCACAGTTCCTTCCCTTGGTGATGTTGGGCAGAAACCATGGGCCCCACATGTTCAAGTTTTGAAAATTAAGTTCTGCGTGGTGGAAGAGCAGCAAACTTGTTTTGAGTGGGGTCTTGTTGCGACACAACCAAGTGCATGAAAATGGGAATTAAGTGAAACGCCAGATTATTCTGCAACTAATATAAACAATGTTTTGTATAAAATTCGCATAAGACTGCATAAATAAGCTCTTAATTATTATTATTATTATTTTTTTTTTTGGGGGGGGGGGAGGGGTTGGGGGTTGAAATAATACTTATCTTGTTTGATATTAGCTTCTGTTTTCCCTGTTTGACATAAAGTTCTGATACTCAATGCATGATTCTTAATGAACTTAAGTAATACCAAATTACTATGCCTTTTGTTTTATTTATGTACGCACAGAGCACACGTTGACATGTCTATATTACTCGTGTTCTTTCATCATGCTTCCTTCTGTAGTTTTAGGGTAAAAAATGTTCAAATTTAAAGTATTTTATGAGTGCTGAAATCCAAAATTGCTGCATTTGGGGGAAGTTTTTGAAAAGAAGACTGAGATGATAATGAAGATTCTACTGGAAATTCCAGCAGATACCCTTTTGTATTAATCTTTTCCTCTTGCAACCTTTGTGTACATATTTTCACATGTTGACCATTGTATTTTTTTTGTTACTTGTGACATTTTATTTAAAGTCTTGCTATTGTAACTTAAACCTATTTTTCTATTCTTTTTTCTTTTCTATCCTTGCAGGGGGTTACAATCAGAACGCCAATGCAGTGGCCTCTGAATAAGGGGTTTTCTTTTTCCTGCTGGCTCAGGATAGAAAACTTTCCTAAAAGTGGAACTATGGGGCTTTTCAATTTTCTTACAGAAAATGGAAGAGGATGCTTGGCCGTCCTTGCAAAGGACCGGCTAATTTATGAGGTAGAAGTCATGTTTCTGTCTGTAGAAGTTTTTCTGATTGGATATTTTGTGTTCTGCAAGTGGCATGGACAGTACATCATTTTCTTGCACAAGATTTCTGTCTGTTAGAATAATTCATGCAATTCAATATTTTTCCTTATCTTTTGCAGTCTATTAATCAGAAGCAACAATGTGTTTCACTGCATGTCAATTTTGTTAGAAAGAAATGGCATTTCCTATGTTTAACTCATAGCATTGGTAGAGCATTTTCTGGGGGAAGTCAATTGAGATGTTATGTGGATGGAGTTCTTGTATCATCAGAAAAATGCAGGTGCTATGTCATTAATAGTATTTGGAGTTTCCGTTCAAATTTAACTTATGATGTTTCTCTTTTCTCATTGGATATGGCAGATTCACCCTGACTTTCATAATTACATGTTTCAGATATGCAAAAGTTAATGAATCTTTGACTAGTTGCGCAATTGGCTCAAAAATTAATTTGCCTTCATATGAAGAAGAGAATGCTATATACTCCGGGAAAGATATATCTCCCCTTTTTGGTCAGATTGGTCCAGTTTATATGTTCAGTGATGCCATTACTTCTGAGCAAGTGCAGGGTATCTATTCTTTAGGGCCAAGTTATATGTATTCGTTCCTTGATGGTGAAATTGCAGTTTATTCAGACAGTCCATTGCCTGGTGGAGTTTTTGATGCCAAAGACGGGCTTGCGTCCAAAATAATTTTTGGGCTTAATGCACAGGTTATCTTTTCTCTTTGTAAAAATTATTGTTTTGTTTAAGTTTGCTGTCTTGTATGACGGTGAGAACCTTAAAATCTTGGTTTTTTTTTTTCAGGCAAGTAATGGTAGGACGTTGTTTAATGTTTCACCACTGCTGGATCATGGATTGGATAAAACTCCATTTGAAGCAACTGTAATGGTTGGGACACAGTTATGTTCACGACGCTTGCTGCAACAGATTATTTATTGTGTTGGGGGTGTATCTGTGTTTTTTCCTCTTTTTACGCAGTCTAATTTGTTTGAAAATGAAGAAAGTGGACAAGTTGAGCATGCTTTGCTTAAACCTATTACAAAAGAGCGGCTGACTGCTGACATTATTGAGCTCATAGCTTCTGTCCTAGATGAGAATTTAGCTAATCAACAACAGATGCTTCTTCTTTCTGGATTTTCCATACTGGGATTTCTGTTGCAATCAGTTCCACCCCAGCAGCTTAATTTGGAAACTCTTTCAGCTTTGAAACACTTATTTAATGTTGTTGCAAATTGTGGTATGTGAAGGGGAACAGTTCTCGATGATCTTTCTTATCTTTTTCTCCCTTCTCTCTGGGAGCAATGAGCTAAACACATCCTTGTGTGTATTAACTTTCTTTGATTTCTGTTCAGGCTTGTCAGAGCTGCTCGTAAAGGAAGCTATATCCAATATATTTCTTAATCCTCTTGTCTGGGTCTACACAGTTTACAGGGTGCAACGTGAACTGTACATGTTTCTCATCCAGCAGTTTGACAACGATCCAAGGTTGCTTAAGAGTCTGTGTCGGTTCCCTCGTGTACTTGATATAATACACCAATTTTATTGGGACAACACGAAATCTCGGTCTGCTATCGGAAGCAAGCCTCTACTGCATCCCATAACAAACCAAGTTATTGGAGAGAGACCTAATAAACAAGAAATACATAAAATTCGTCTTCTTCTACTAAGTCTTGGTGAGATGAGCCTCAGGTAAAGTGTCTTCCTATGCCAGATTGTCTCCAACTTACATTCTCTAGTACATGTACACTGTTATTTCTGTTCGCCTATTCAGTCCCAAGTACACGTTCAAAAAAAAATAAAAAAATTCAATGCTAAGTACAATGATATAGCGGATTACTTTATGCAAGCTTTTTGGAATTTTATTCAAAGATGCTAATGACATGCAGGCAGAACATTGCAGCATCAGATATCAAAGCTCTTATAGCTTTTTTCGAGACAAGTCAAGATATGGCATGCATTGAAGATGTTTTACATATGGTTATTCGTGCTGTTTCCCAAAAAGCACTGCTTGCTTCTTTTCTGGAACAAGTCAATTTAATTGGTGGCTCTCACATCTTTGTCAATCTTCTTGAAAGGTGTGCCTTTTATCTTGAATATATATGGCCATAGAGCAGTTCTTTTTTCAATTGAAAATTCTTGTCTTTTGGATTGATTATGAAATCTCTTTCCCCAATTGGTATGCTCCTATTCTTTGCTTGCGGGTTGTGTTCTACTGTTTCGACAATTTTCCTTGAAGTACTATATCCTTTAAAGTGTCACGTGGGTTATATTGTGTCAGCGTCTTTAGGTTTTTGTTAGTAATGTCTGCTTTCAGTCAGTATAAGGACTACCACTATGTTTAATGCCTTTGTTTGGAAAGCTTGTGGAGGCCTAACTTTAGGGGTGGCAATCGTGTCGTGTCTGGGTCATGTTATGTCGGGTTCAGGTTGAAAACACATCAACCCAAACACGACCTGCTAGTTAAACGGGTTAGGTCATTTGGACACGAATACGACCTGACTCGAAACACGACTAACCCGACACGACCTGTGACCCGAGATTTACACAGATCGTGTTCAGGTAAACACAACCCAATCTGCCTAACATGACCCAACCCGACATGACATAACAAAAAAAGGAAAATTTTAGACATGTTACAAATATCCCAAATGCAAATCTACATAAAACAAAGGCTAAAACATCACAAATATCTCAAAAACAAATACAAATCTCCATAATATTACAAATATTCAAAACACTTTACTAAAATCCCCGAGCAATATTACAAGCATCTTTCAAATTCTCTTCATCTCTTAAATCTGGCCAACATCAACAATCAAGACCCACTATCCCCTATAAAAAACCCACATAAAAAGAGTTAGGTTTTATGACTCAACACACATCAACAAACACATAAGATTGAGAAAAAGAGTTTAAGTTTTATGATTCACACACATCAACAATCAAGATCCACAATCACATTTGAACATTGCACCGACGCATCCTCCTCATTTTTGTTCAAAGTCGGATTTATACATCTTCTATGGGCTCTTCCAATTGCACTTGTGAATTTTCTAAATGACAATAAGGAAAGCATATAAATAAGAATTTAATATTTGTAAGAATAATTAAATATCGCAATCATCACAAATTATATTTATTACCTTTTTCTGCATATAGCCAATCTCTAGTGCACATCAAGGCCTCCACAACATGAGGCTTCAAAGCACTACGGTATTGGTTAAGAACCCGACCACCAATACTAAAAGCTGATTCTGAAGTAACCGTAGAAATTGGAATAGTTAACACATCACGGGCCATCATAGCAAGTTCCGGATAACGATACTGATGAGCTCTCCAATAATCAAGAACAAGAAATTCTGTTTCTATGTCAACCCTAGGCTCATCCAAATACAATTGCAATTGACTTTTTTGTGTTTTAAGACCAGATGCATTGCTCTCAATGACAAATGCCTACATTATCAAAATCACAGACTTTGAAATCATAGACTATCAATAGTATTAATCTAATACAATAAAAACTATAAAACAAAAAATTAAATAGCTTTAAATCTAACACAGGTTGTGGATCACAAGCAACTAGACCACCACGAGGAACAAATTTGCTTATATACTCATCAAATAGAGAAAAAAGCTTGTCTCGAACATGAAAATACTCAAGAGAGCCTTCACCATAAAGCTTCTTATAGCACTACTCCACAAAGTCAAGTTTATAGTGATGATTAAACACAATTGCAATGGCCAATATAACGCTATACTCCAACTAATACTTTTCAAATTTTTCATACATTTGACAAGACATTATTCTCATAAAAGTATCCAAACTTTGCATTTCTCTATTCAAAGTCAATTGAATACTGAAAACTTGTTGAAAATACAAGTTTGATATGGGGTACTTGGAGCCAGAAAAGATAACAGTAGTATCATAGAAATTTTTTAAAAACATCTGAATCTTTTCAACTTTGATCCATTTCTCTTGAGATGAGAAATACTTAAAATTAGAATCCACAAGTTGCAAATGACAAAAGGCACGACGGTAGTAAATTGCACTTGCAAGCATCAAATATGTTGAGTTCCATCTAGTAGGAACATCTTGCCTCAAACTTTTTTTGCTATCTAAAGATGTCTGTGCAACACACACTAAGAATTTTTGTTTTCTTGTCTGAGAACCTTTTACATACTTGATACTCTCTCTGACTTTTTCCACAGCTAAATCTACTTCTTTCAACCCTTCTTGCACAATCAAGTTTAGAATATGAGCACAACAACGAATATGAAAAAACCCACCATCACCAAGTAAAGCATCTATCAAATTAAGTTGATTCTTAAGCATATCAACCATGACATCATTTGCAGAAGCATTATCCAAAGTAATTGAAAACAATTTTTTCTCAAACCCCATTTTGTCAACAAACTATAAATCTTGTCAGCCTGTGCGATGCCACTGTGTGGAGGAGGCATGTAAGAGAAATTCAGAATTCTTTTTTGCATTATCCAATCTTTGTCGATGAAATGTGCTGCGAGACTTAAATACCCATCGGTAGCAATAGATGTCCACAAATCAGAAATCAAACCTATCTTGCCAGGTATGTCGTGCAAGATAACAGACAACCTACGCATCTCTTTTGCATGCATTACCTGTGTTTCTTGTCATGAATTTGACATTTGGATTTAAGTAGCCAAAGATTTGTCTAACACATTCATACTCAACAAATTGAAAGGGCAAATCATGTCTAATTATTGCACTTATTAACATCTCTCGAAATTTTTCTTCGTTAAACTTCAAAGACCGTGCAGTAATAGACTCTTGACTTTGACTTAAAATCATCTGACCCACATCACGTTGTTTCAAACAAGTCTTTAAATGACGCCATAAATTACCAATCCCATAGTTACTAGCACCATTGTACTCAATCTTACATTTGTTGCATTGTGCCTTTAAAATATTGTCTTGATTTACATACTTTCTAAAAAACCCCCATACCTTTGATGTGGAAGTACATTGTCGTTTTTCATCATTCGTATTATCTCTACTTTCTGTATCTGGGGCAGCATTGGATGCATTCTCAATATTGACATCCACAATCTGTTGAGTACATGATGTATCCTCCATTTTCCTGACAAGATTTTTTGCCAATTAGAAACCTAATGAACATTCAAAAAACGGAAATTAAGTCGGAAAACAAAAGAAATGCAGAGGACTATTTGATTTCAGTGAATATAAACAAAAGAAGAGTAGAAGTTTACACAATATGGAGGTTGTACATAAAACACAGTGTTTCTCTAAGGATTAAAAAAATCTAAATAACCTTTCAGACTATCGGTAGTCAGCCTTGTTTCTTCCCCTCCTTTGAACCGGAACTCAGACATCATGTCTGAAAATCTACCAAGAAGTGCATAAAATACTACTTTGTTTGGTGGAGATGCCAACCACTCTTCCTAAAACACCCAAACTAATGGCATCCTGATAGAAGCCCACCAAAATGTCAGAAGACATTTGCGGGGTTGCAAGCAAAGCTCAAAGAAAGACTTGCTAAAATACGGAAGACTCTGAATATCCCAACCAACTGCACGAAGGATTAGACTACTTAAATTCTGTGCTTACTCTATCTGAACTATGACACAACCAGAAAATGGTATGATTTGTTGTCACTAAATTTGCTTCAGGATAGGGGAGTTTTGAACAATATTAAAACTTAAATTCAACAGAGTTCCTACAAATATCATTTTAATGGTTCACAAAATCTGTGAGCATCACCTTTCTTATGTCTTGCACATTCAACACAGTGCTTCTCTAAGCATTAAAAAAATCTAAATTAGTCATCAACATATTTGCACAAGGTGACAGCTATCAGAAACGTAATAGCCTAAATAAATGTAGTGACAACTGGTCGATCTTACCTGGTATCGCCGGACAGAGAAAGACGGAGAAAGAGCAAGAGAAAGAGCGAGAGAGAGAGAGAGATCTTACCTGGTACCGCCGGACCTACTGGTCGCCGATGCCCACACTAAGCTGAGACCGAGGGAAGGAGGGAGCTCAGGGAGGGAGGCGGGATGGCTAGCTACTGCTGGATAGAGAAAAGTAGGAAATAAAGGTAGGGTTTGAGAAATAGTAATTAAATTCTTTATATATAAGTGGGTAATTTCGGGTCAAAACAGGTCAGTTGGGTTCGTGTCAACCCGATTAAATACACGGGTCAATTTGGGTAACTTCGGGTTAAACGGGTTGAACCCGAACACGACCCATTAACACTCCGTGTTGACGGGTCGTGTCATAAACGGGTTGGGTCAAAAATTTAGTCAACCCAAACCCATTTATTCGTGTCGTGTTCGTATCGGGTTATCGTGTCGTGTCAAAAATTGCCACCCCTACCTAACTTGTTGGAAAGGAGGATGTAAATTAGCTTGACTAATAGAAAGGAGACTCAACCAGAGTTCAATCTGTACTTGAAGTTTCACCTAAAAAATATTTAGTGTGATATGATGAAGTGATCCCAAATATACATTTATTTGTGACCTTTCAAATGTTTTAGATAGAGACTTAAACAGAGTTCAATTTGTAAAGAGTACGGTACTTGAAGTTTGACCTAAAAAATATTTAGTGTGATATAACATGACTAATCATAAGTAGTAAAAATGTATCCTTTAAAGCTGTTGTGGCACATATATTAATTACCATGGCTCCTGAAACATCCAATATATGTCTTCTTTGTCACACCATCTTGTTGGGCAGCTGTTGTACGAAGTGATGAGCGATTATGATGGGCGCAATAAGCATGAGTCTCAATTTTGCATGTACCCAAGAACGCTATTAGAAGATTAAGTCCAAAAAAATACTATAACTGAATTGAACTTTCTATAAAAGATGTAAGATGTGAAAAGTTTTTGATAAATTTCCATTGGGAACAAACTTGATGTGCAAGATTGAATATTGAGAAAATAGAAATGGATGTGAGAAGGGCAGCCTGATAGCATGCTGTCCGTAGGAGAATGCTTGTTTGCAGGCTGCTCCAAAATGGATTCAAACAACCATTGCTTAAAAGTGAACTGACAGAACAAGCTAATGATTTATGTTCGATTTGTTTTTATAAGGTGGACAATGCATTTGAGCTGCACTTTTTTGTGAGGACTATGTCGTGCTGTCAGCTAGCTGGTTGCAGAAGTCATTGATTGATGAATGTTGATGTGGATTGCCAGTTTAGACCTGTACAATGCATTTAGTAGAAATTTTAAAATTGGCTCATACTTATGTGTTGATCGATTTGGATGCACAAAATTTCTGCTATAAATTTTCGCACATACTGTTTAGTTCTATATTCCAGAATCATGCTTAATGCAAATAATTATCGTGCTATTATATTATTTAAATTAGAGGCACCAAAATTTAACACTCGGAGATACCACAGCTATATTGCTCTGAATAAGTGTAAAAAGTTGAAAAATTGTAAATGTACAGTAAATATATGATATCTTGGCTTCTAATTTAAATTCTACATTTGTTTTTCTGAAATCTTGTTTTTTGTAATAACCTATTGCTAAGTTCCTCTTTGCGAACAACTTCTAATTTATATTTTTTCCTTTGTCAGTGAGAATAAATCTTGCAATGTACCTTGTGATTAATAACTCAAAAATTGATTTATTGCTAAAAAACGTGGATATTTCACATGTATTATTTTCCCTGTCAACCTGCGATGCTGTGATTAGAGGCTGCAAAAGCATGGTTTGTAGTCAAACATGCATAATATAATTCTGAATTTAATGCTGTATCCTCCAACTTGTTTGTTCTAAGGGATTGTGAGCCCATCAGATTGCTCGGCTTGCAGTTCCTTGGAAGACTTTTGGTCGCACTCCCAGCAGAAAAGAAGGGTTCAAAATTTTTTAATATTGCTGTCGGAAGATCGAAATCTCTCTCAGAAGGCCATAAAAAAATCAGATCGAGGATGCAACCAATTTTCTCTGCCATATCAGATAGACTGTTTAGATTCCCTCAGTCAGATCTTCTATGTGCAACCTTGTTTGACGTTCTTCTTGGTGGTGCAAGCCCTAAACAGGTGATCCATAATATATGAGTCTCGCTTTCTGTTTTCATTTGGTGGTTCCTTATCATTTTGGTTCATTTTTCTCTTGTACATCATTGATTAATCGATTAAATTTAGTAGGCATACCCGTGCATGTATGAATTGGTATCTTTCGAATTGTTGTTGCCAGGTTTTACAGAAACATAACCAACTTGATCAGCAGAGAAGCAGGGGGAATAACTCTCAGTTCTTTCTTCCTCAGATTTTGGTTCTCATTTTCAGATTCCTGTCTGGCTGTGAGGACGTAACTGCAAGGACAAAAATAATTAGTGATTTACTTGATCTTCTTGAGTCAAATCCTTCGAACATTGAAGCTTTGATGGTTCGGTTTGTCTAAATTGTTGTTGTGTTTTTTGCATTCATATGCTATCTTATAATTACTTGAATATTTTAAATAGGAACATGGATGGAATGCGTGGTTAGTTGCTTCAGTGAAGCTTGATGCGTTGAGAACTTACAAAGTAGAGTCACAAACTTGCACTGACAGTGAAGTGAATGAGCAGAGTTTAGTGAGGAATTTATATTGCATTGTTCTTTGTCATTATATGCATTCTGTGAAAGGTGGTTGGCAACATCTAGAGGAGACTCTGAATTTTTTGCTTATACAATGTGAACAAGTATGCTTCTCTCTTTGCCCCGTAACAATTTTAAATCTTTTAGTTCAATTTGTAACTGGCTGTGTTTACTTCATCAAACTTTCAATGTTCTCCAGGGTGGCATCTCATATCGGTACCTGCTTCGTGATATATATGAGCACTTAATTCGGATGCTGATAGATTTATCTTTGGTGGACGGTATTTTTGTCACACAGCCATGTCGAGACAATACATTATACCTTCTGAAACTAGTTGATGAGCTGTTGGTCTCTGAAATTGATCATAAGCTTCCGGTATCTAATTTACTTGAGTATTTATCTTTCTTGTTTGTCTTTATGTGCTTTCTTTTTTATTATTATTATTATTATTTTTTGTGTGTGTGTGGGGGGGGGGGATGGATTTGCGGGTTTAGCATTTGCGATGAGAGCATCCCTCAGGTCATTTAGCTATTGAAAAGATTTCCAATAAACTATTATTTTTCGTAAATGAGGAATGGACAAAATAGTTGGACGAATTTAAACATTTATGAAGGAAACATGCATGAACCATTGAAGTAAAATAAATAAAAGGCATTGCGAAAGCATCCTTAGCTGTGGTGACTTGTTAAAGGAATTTGCTTGTGATGTAGTTTGAGAACCTAAGAAACACGGATACGGAACATGAATACGATACAACATGGACATGGCGAGACGAATTTTTAAAAAAAGTAGGATACGGATACGTTGGTGATACTTAAATAATATGTATTTATATATATAAATATAAAATATATATATACTAGTTATTATCTGTGCCTGAAAACACAGAGTAATAAAAAAAAGATCAACAATAAATATATTTGTATTCATACCAAAAATCAAATCATAAATATAGAGGAGAGAGAAAAAAATTTAAACCCCAGTTGTAATAGGGGTGAGCAGTGGCAGTGGTGGTGGTGGTGGTGGTGGAAGGAGACGGTGATGGTTGTGGCGGGTGGCGACGATTAGGAATGGCAGTGGACCGGGGAAAAATGGGTATTCGTCCAAACCCATTCCGTTTGGACCGGGGATGGACTATACGTATTGGACGGTGGACGTATACGGGGATACTCGTATAAACCCGTGTGGGGATGAAGGCAGGGATGGACTTACCCTTAACCCCGTCCCGTCTCCGTTACCTGTTATATATATATATATATATATATATATATATATATAGGTCACATATAGGTCATTACATTGATCACGTATAGGCTTCTTTACTTACTGAGAGAACAATTTGGCTTGGGGTAAAATCACGTGTAGGTCATTACATTGATCAATTACTTCTTCATTACATTCGGTATTTTTTTACAAATTAAAGAGGAGTTCACCAGATGAAATTTCTTGGCATAGGTGTGATTATAAATTTTTATTAGAAGTTCCAGAACCATAAATTCCTTTTACATTGGGCTTTTATCATCCTTTACTTGCATTCCATGTGTGATGTCATTAATGGATGTCATAATTTCAGAACACATAGATGACATATTTGTGGGTTCCCTTCTTTTTGTCATTTTAGCAAATCTTTTTGGAACATTATGCAGGCTATGACCTTGTTGAAACAGACCACAACAATTTTCATGGAATTGTAGCTAATTATCTCTCAAAATAATTTTCTTTGTTTCAACATAATTGAGTGCAAAGAAAAGAAGACACTTTTTATATTGTTACATCTTCTATTCTGATCATAGCAGAAAAAAAAATTAAGCTCTTTTAATTCTTATGACTTTACTTGTGCTTGGGCGGGTACGGGGGAAACAAGGACTAGGACGAGGATTATAAGTTTACCCGCGGACGGGGATGGTGATGAAAATTATACCCATTAGCGGGGGTGGACTGGGGATGAACGAAGGTTTTTAAGTAGGTACGGGGATGAAGAGTATACCCCCCGCCCCCGCCCCCGCCCCCGCTTCGGTCCATTGACATCCCTAACGACGAACGTAGTGATGGTGGTAGTCGTGGGTAGCAACGGTGATGGCGGTGGTTGTTGGTTTTGGGTGACGATTGTGCTAGTGGTAGTCATAGGTGACGACGGTGATAGTGGTTGGTAATGGTGGTGGTGGGCGATGACGGGCTTGTTTGGGCAATAGTGTGATGAGTGGTGGTGAATTACGGTAGTGATGATGGTGGTAGGTGTGGATGGTAGTGGGTGGCGGTAGTGGGTGGCGATGACGGTGGCAACAGTGGTGGTGGGGTGACGACGGAGGTGGTGGTGGGGTGACGACGGAGGTGGTGGTGGGAGGGGGTGATGGTGGGACAGTAGTTGTGGTGGTAGGATGACAGCAGTAGTGATGGTGGTGGTGGTGGTGGGGCGGTAATAGAGGTGATGGTTGGGGTGGCGGTGGCGGTGGTTGTTGTGGCAAAGGTGGTGGTGGGGTGGCGACAGTAATGGTGGTGGTGGTAGTGGGGGTGGCAGTGACGATGGTGGGTTGGCAGCGGTGGTGGGACGGTTTCAAACACTATTTTTTTTTAAAGTACTTATAAGAAGTTATAAAGTACTTTTAAAAAGTCACCCAAATACACCTTTATAGGTCTATTTCCTATTAAATTTGAGGTATTAATATTAGTCGTCGGATTAACTTTAAAGTAAAATTTAAAGAGATCTCAACCGTGAAAAATAAAAGTCATTTTGTTTATATTTTGAGATTTGAATTGTATTATACTTTATTATTTTTATATATAATAATGTAATAAAATAAAAATATAATTATAATAATCTTTTAATTAATTATTTCCCTAATTCTAAAAATTCACATCGTGATATCACTATATAAAAATTACAATATAAAATATACCGATTCACATTCAACATTAACATCCATGATCCAACAATCAATGACTACTGCAACTTTTATTTTCTAAAATATTTCACTTCGTAATACTAATTTTCGCTAATTTTCAAGAGTCCCAATTTTGTAACCTCATTTTTTTTCACATTATTTTCATATTAAAAGTTCCTTCCATTTGTATATAAGTTCATATTTGTATATAAAATTATGTTACATCCATGTCCTTTGTCCAATGTAATGATTATGACTTCTTTTATATTAAAATTGTGCCTCATATCCCTTTAAAATTACAAAAATAACTCTTAATTATAAAATTATCTGAGCAGTTATCAAAAAATTGAAAATAAATCTCAAAACGTGTCCCTAGCATGTCTACCACGTGTCTTCAATATGTCCTGAGTGTGTTGGCTGCGTGTCCTCAGCGTGTGTTGAAAAAAATTTATCAATAAAAAAAATTGGACCTCATTTTAACATTTACGACATGTGTCTGTGTCCCAGACGTGTAGACACCGATACTCTGCCCAGAGTGAAGTGTCCGTGCTTCCTAGTTGGGAACGCATAAAATATCTTGCTTGCCTGGAATGTGACTTACGTAATGCTAGACGTGGGCACAGTTTACATTATATGTTTTGGACAAGCTTAATACCGGATATGTGCCATAGCTGGGCATGAGTATATGCATATGTACTTACTGACGTCCTGGTGAATATAGTTCTGTTCTTTTAGACCTCCTGTTTCTCAACCAGTACATAGTTTAGCTTGTGAAAATCAATTCTCAAGGGCCATTGTTGAATGCTTGAAAGGCCTTATGCATCTTTATTTTGTCCCTCTCCCATTGCTTTCCCTCTGTTGGAAACTCATTACACTTAATCATCATCATTGATCATTATTGTTGTACTACTCGAGTTGGATGCATGGCCTTTTGATTTTGAAAATTGCACTAGTGCTTTAAATGGCAGTTTGCTTGCCTGAATCATCGTTGTTTTTATGGAAATGTAATTGCATTGTTCTGAGACACATGTACACATACCTTAATTCATTGATTTCTAGTAGGGGTATCTGGTAGGAGGCTTGGGTGCATTGGTTGGTTCAAAGCTCGAAAGGGTTTGTATCCAAGGATCAAAATGTCGTGTCGACACGTCCGAAACGTTTCGGAATTTCAACACTCCGAAACGAAACAGTAGTTGAATTACAAAATTCCAGTGTTTCGGTCGAAACGGTACTGTTTCGGACCGTTTCGGTCGAAACGGCATTGTTTCGAACCGTTTCGACAAAACAGTGATATATTCGGTTCATTATGAATAATTACATTTAATACCCCATTATAATTACATTTAATACCCACTGTAATTACATTTAATACTCACTATAATTATATTTAATATCCCACTATAATTACATTTAATTCTCACTGCTCTTCTGTCTTTTATAATTTTTTTGTTATAAGAATAAATAATTACACTTAATACCCTACTATAATTATATTTAATACCCGTTATAATTATATTTAATACATACTGTAATTATATTTAATATCTCACTGCTGTGCAAGTTTTTTGCTTTTTTTTTTGTTATAAGTATTAACAATTACATTTAATACCCTAATATAATTATATTTAATACCTACTGTAATTACATTTAATACCCACTGCAATTACATTTAATTTTTAAGTATACATAAGTATCATTAATTTAATTTGATACCCTTCTTTATTAGTATTATAATAAAATAGTATTATTAATTGGATTATATTACCGTAATAATATGATTTGGAGTAACTATTGTCATCATATTTATGTCACATATGGAGTTTCTCTAAGTAGCTACCCAGAGCCTACACCGATGTATGAGCCTGCTCGACACTCCACAGGGGAATGGATGTAATCATGTAAGTATGTACTCATTAGCATTTCATGTGTATTATAAGACGTTAATATTATGTAAAAATGTGTTTATTTCATAAAAATTAAGTGTTTGAAACTAATTTAAGTGACTTTCGCCTCAAGTCAAGCCTTTTTTTCCCTCAAATTTAAATTTATTCTTGTATAAATTGATGTTAACCTAATAAATATGTTGAATTAATAAATTATTTAGCATATCTTTATAAATTAATGGATTGCATTTGTGTTTCTATGCGTTTCCATATTTTTTCTGCTTTTCCATTGCGTTTCCGAAATGTTTCCGAAACGTTTCTATTTTTGAGTTGACCGAAACGGTACTTCGAAACAAAATTTTGATCCTTGTTTGTATCCAATGTGGGAGTTAGAATTATAGGTTGCTGACATGAGACTTTGAGATGGATGACTGCCATAGAATAGAAATGAAAACTCCACTTGTGGGAAGATAGAAGTGGCATTGCCTGTAGACACAATGAATGGATGCCTACCAAGATAGTGATGTCATGTGCTTTGCAGATCAATAAAGGCATTGAATTTTTTTGTCCAAGTTGAAGATGTCCAAAAAGAATGAGGGTTGAGGTGGTATGAACGGCCATGATCGATTGTTAGAGTGGACAGGACAGGAGAAGCAGTTGATGTAGGTATTGTTGTATTGGGCTGACAGCCATTGGCTGAATAGGAAGAAGTTGAAGATGTTCATTGGGTAGAGTGACATAATCTAACTATGTAATCTCATTAGAGGAGCTACCAAATCAAGATAAAAAATCTTGAACATTTCATTGGACAGTGTCAGTTCTTATCTGGCGTTTTCTTAAATAAAATTTGGAAGGGAACCTAGAATGAGTTCTAAAGACGGGTTGCAACTACACTTCAATAAAGGACAAACAGAAACGAAGAGCTTTTTAAGATTACACTTTAATGGGACGTCAAAGGAGAGAATCCCTATTCCCTACATAAAGCAAATGAGGTCCTCAAGCTCCAGATTTCTCTTGGAGAAATATTGCTGGATTTCCAGTCGATTTTTCTTCTTGTCATTTAATTTTCTATGATTTTTTGACGTGCTGGTATCACTTGCATAGAGGAACTTGGTACTAGTTTGCTAAATAGTGGTGATTTTGTTTCTGCTGGCATCAGTGATGTTTAATGTTTTCTATAATATGAAGAGAAACTTGATTTTTCTCTTTTGATTGCCTACAGTTTCCCGCAAGTAGCTCAGATTTTTCTCCTGAATTTTTAGAACTACAAAGTCACAAGGATCTTGGTTCTGCTTTGTGTGAGGCCTTGCAAGGAGAATTTGATGATCAATGCAGGTATTGCCATTTTTTTTTTTGCAGACTTTTGGCATTTGTAGTATTTGAAAATTTTTGACTCGTACAAAATCGTTTTAATGTTTGTTGGCAAAACCAACATTTTTTCTATGTAGTCCTAGTAGAATGTAGTCTTTATTTTATCGTGGGTATGGTTGTCTATCTATTCATTGAAGACTACTGGCAGTTTTTTTACCTTCTTTTCGGGAAAACAATGAAAAGTTCGACTGTTTAATTTCGTAAGTATTTAGTGTGACCTATCTTATTTTTCTTGTGTGTTATGATCATGATATAATGGTAATTAATGGGTTCGTTGGTAAATGTTGGGCCTCTTAAGGGTGAGAAATTAGGTTTGCATGAGAGCTGCCACCTTTGTGCAAATAATGCCAATTTTAAAACTTCCCTAACCCATCCATCCTAGCACTTGCATTGGGAGTACCAATTGTAGTTGTTACCCTATAATTCATAATACCCAGATGCGATCTCGATAGAAAAATGTCGTAAAAGGTTTTCTTGTTTATAAAATTACCATGACTTTCTTAATGTTTTCAAGCTTTGTAACGCTCTCCTTGTGAATTACCTTATAATTAAATGATTTTTGTCAGTTAGTAAGTTTTTCCAGAAAGATCTTTCTAGCTGACATGTGCTCTCTAAATGAACAAAGGTCTTTATTGGGATGAGGATTAGTGGTTTTTGTGGATAAGGTTGGTCAAAGGTTTGTCAAGGTTGTGAGAAATAAGTGCCTTAAAGCTAGTTAGGCAAGGGGAGAAAAGAACTTTTGGGTCATTTAGTTTTGTGGACTGTACCTATGAGTATGTCCAGGGATTCAAAGACTCGGCCGAGGCGGAGTTAAAGTTAACTCCGCCAAGTCGTATTTGACTCGACCTCCACCAATACGATAACGATACACGTCGTGCATATAATATGAGTCTCACATGAATCGGTGTTGACTCGGCCTGACTCGGGGACAATTCATTGGAATCGGCCTATTCGTAACGTAATGACAACTAGATGGGAGAATCATTGTGCAAGCCAACATCTAGGATGGAAAAAACCTAAGCAGAAAAATCTAAAACTAGTTCAAGAAATCTCTGAATAGCAAGAAGCCAAAGAAAAGGCAAAGAAAGAAGAAGTGGGATTTTCAGCCCTAAATCATAAAAACCCACAAGAAATCTTTCATGAATTCAACCCTAAATCACCCTTTTTTGCAATTATTTGAATAGAAGAAGGAATCGAGAGAATTCGTAACACAAACTTGTCAAATTGTGGACTAATTGCCATGAACAACTTGAGATAACTTGTGAAAGCAGTCGCATTGGCTTAGTATTCCAGTGACCTTTGATTGGGGCCTCCGATCGCATCCACAATGGATTGTCTCTGGTTCTCTCTTTCCTCCTTCCTCTCTCTCTCTCTCTCAAACGTCAAAAGCCCACAAACTTTGAAATGGTCAATTAGTCAAAAGGCTCTTAGTCTTTAAATGCATCAGTTTTTTTTTCCGTTTTTTCCCTAATTTATTAAATGTCTCATGCAAGTGGTTTTGTATGGGCAAGTTTTTTTAAATACTTTTGTGTAGTATGTTATGGTGCTAAACGTACGGTAATAATATATTAAAATGTGTGTGTGTGTGTGATGCATCATGCATGAATGTTAATTGTATATATTTTTTAGAATTTTTTACAGTTTACTACTTTTAGTGTGTTGTGATTTGGTACAAGCTCATGATATGATTATTTTGGTTCTAGAAACCCATTGGTACAGAAGCAGCCTGTGACAACTGAAGATGAGAGAATTGATGATGAGTGGTGGAATTTGTATGACAATGTGTGGATCATTATTAGTGAGATGAATGGGAAGGGACCAAGCAAGATGTTACCCAAATCTTCATCAGCGGCAGGGCCATCATTTGGCCAAAGAGCTCGTGGTTTGGTAGAATCACTGAATATACCTGCTGCAGAAATGGCTGCAGTTGTTGTATCTGGGGGAATTAGCAATGTGTTGGGTGGAAAACCGAATAAAAATGTTGACAAGGCTATGCTACTAAGAACGGACAAGTGCCCAAGAATTGTTTTTCGACTGCTGATCCAATATCTGTGTAAATCTTCTCTTGAAAGGGCATCTCGGTGTGTACAACAGGCCATTCCCCTTCTGCCTTGTCTTCTGGCTGCTGAGGACGAGCAAAGCAAGAGTAGATTGCAGCTTTTCATTTGGTACTGTTAGTTTTCTGTTCCAAATTGTGTTCTACGATTTTAATTGTTGATATTTTGTTGTTTAGTTTCTATGGTTTTAAAGTGCTATATAAGATATAAATCCATGATGATCCAAAGCGTTCCCCTAATTCTCGATGGATTTATGACATTGCATGATCTTTTGTGTAGGGCATTGCTTGCTTTTAGATCCCAGTATGGAATGCTGGATGATGGTGCCCGATTTCATGTTGTTTCACACTTAATTCGAGAAACTGTCAACTGTGGGAAGTCAATGCTGGCCACCAGTATTGTAGGCAGAGATGATTCATCAGAGTCGGGACACAATCCAAAAGAAACTAGCACCATTCATAATTTAATCCACAAGGATCAAGTTCTTGTTGCGGTGTGTCCTCCAATTTTTTGTTGATCTTATCTTAATTTATGTTGTCTGTTGCCACACTTATATTGACTTAATTACTTAATCCTGTCAAGTATATCTCTCTATGTATCCGCCATATCTGGCCATATGCAAATGAGATTCAACTGTTCTATGGATTTTTCTATTTAAGAGGAAGACATGGTAATTCGCACCGTATAGTGCATATTCAGTTATTCACATGTTCTTCAATATAGTAACTAAGGTGATTTGAATTTCATACTATTAATTTGCAGGTTGGTTTGATTATTTTTTTACCTTACTTAGACAAAAGGATATGTAATTGAAATAAACTAACCAAATTCTTGTCCCCAAATATTTGGGGTTGACTACATAAATCTTTTTTTTTTTGCCATTTTACTTTGTAAAGGGTTGAATTTTATGTTGTGACAAGGAGCTTTATGTTTTGAAATTACCACGATAAGCATACGATAATTACAACTGTTAGACCATTCAACCGAAAACTAGTTGACAATGAGTGGAGTAGCCCCTCAAGTATATAAACCAATCTTAGGTGATCCTAATCATTCGATGTGGGATACAAGGTCTCTTTATACCCTCCACGTGGAATCCATGCTCACATGAGGCTAACAAACAAATAAACAACTATGCATATTGGAAAATTCAAATGAGAAAGAGACTTGGCCTATTGACGGGCCACCCAAGGCTCAATACATGTTAAGAGTATCTAATTCAAAACCAATGGACACAGAGTGGAGTAATCCCTAAAATATATAAACCAACCTTAGGTGATCCTAATAATTCGATGTGAACTTTCCGATGTAACAAAAAAATAATAATAATTCGATGTCGAAAACAAGATATTTTTACAGCCACAACCATGTAGGGTGAGAGTGTGATGGTCTTAGGTTTGTTGGGGGGGGGGCGGGTGGACATATAGCTAATTCTACAAAGGGTTAATAATTAAAATACCCTTGAAGGTTTCAATAAGCTGATTCCCCACAGTTGGATTCATGCAAAAGCCCATTTTGATCTATAATTAGCAGAGTCCACCCTGCCATAACATTCAGTTCCAACTGGTCAGGATGATGTCATGATAGCCATTGGAGTCCCAAAAGAAGTCCTCATGAGATGTCCCGATCAGTTAAATTTAACAAAGCTGTATATCACCTGATGTAAAATTTCACTTAGCTTCCATGGCAAGAAAATGTCAGAAACTGATTGAATATGTGTCAATTTGCAAGTGAATTATACTCTATAATTTTTAACTTCGGAAAAATCAATATATCGTCAAGCGTACATTTTCATTTTAGTTTTTTCGTTGTCAGTTCAAATTCATATCATTCTTTCATATTAATTAACATTTCTGTTGGGTCATTAAAATCATTCTGCTTATTATTTTGGTAGTAAAAATGTATTTTTGCGTTTCTCCCCAGTTGAAGAGGTGATATATTATTTGATGATATTTTAAGGGATATTTTTGTTTTCTATCATTCTACAACTGACCAAAATTGACGAATCCATAAATGTACATTATCTGTAGAATTAGTTGTGTCCACATCCGTACTGACCATGCAGACCATTGTCGTGCCTTGCACATTGCTCTGCTCTAGCTACATTTGTATGTCACGGAAGCCACATTTTTGTTGTCAGTTTATGAATATGTTTTTCCTGAGTTGTCATGTGCTTCTTTTTGTTGTTTTGATATCTGCCGTTGAGTTGCCTAGTTTTGCTCTTCAGGTTGCGGATGAGTTCAAATATATAAAGAATTCAACAATAGATCGCATCAGGCAGTTGCAAGATCTTCGGATTAGGATGGAAGAAATTACATCGGCCGATTCTTACCAAAAGAAGTTTTTAGAAGATGAGGTACAGAGTTGCTTAATCACCATTCTTGCTTCAGATGATAGCAGAAGAGCTTCATTCCAGCTTGGTCAGGATGAGGATCAACAAATTGTCGCTGTAAGCATGAATTTTGTTGCTGTCTGTTGCCTTGTTTTCCCCTGTATTTGCAGTTAGCTTTTCACGAGAATGTAAACAGATTAAAATTGATGCTTCTACAGGAAAAATGGGTACATACATTTCGCACTCTGATTGATGAGAGGGGTCCATGGTCTGCTAATCCTTTTCCTAACAGTACCATAACACATTGGAAACTTGACAAGACAGAAGATGCATGGAGACGAAGGCAAAAGTTTAGGCGAAATTATCATTTTAATGAAAAGCTTTGTCACCCTCCATCCACTACATCTAGCAATGAGGCTCTTCAACCTATTAGTGAAAGCAAAACTGGTTTTGGTTTTGGGTTGCATATTCCTGAGCAGATGAAGCAGCTCTTACTGAAAGGAATTCACAGGATAACTGATGAGGGGCTGTCAGAACTCAATGACAATGATGCTGAACCTAGCGGGCAAAAGGAGCCTGGAGCCGAGGATCCACAAGATAGACAGTGCTCTGAGGTAGTAAAAGATAGCTGTGATCACAAGGACATCACTCATGAAAGAAAAGATTATGCTTCAACATCAATAGAGTCAGAAACAAGTGAGGTATGTGTG